TCACGAGAACCCAAATAATTTCCCTTGTGGCTCAGTAACGTTTGTCTAAGTCTAAGTCTAAGTAAGAACATTCCACAAAAAGCTCCACATCAATCTCCATGGAGACGAGCAGGTGGCGAAAAAGTTACATAGTGCACCTTTAAAACTACATTTTAAAGGTTTTACATATTTATTCCCGGGTCTGCTGATGTAGCCACAGCTGCCCTGGGCTCAGAAGAAGAACATTCATACATAAAAGTGTCTTGCTCAAGGACTCAAACTGTCTATACACTGGGCTGAGCGGGAATCGTACCACCGACTTTTAGGTTTGTGGGCGACCGTTTGAGCCTCGACGTTCACAAACCAGTCTGTAACAGTATTTGTACTTATTTAACGTATTTATTTTTTGTATTTTTATAGTGTAATGTACAGCATTTTTGGATCGTACAGCCGCGGGACAAAGCTCCGTCTAATTTGGGGCATGTTTTTTGTATTACCTGACATCTCCTCTCCAAAACTCTTTCTGAATAAAACCTGTGACAAGTAAAAGTTTGGTGTTTTTGTTGTTGATTCTGCAGAAATCCCCTTTTTTTTTAGAAAGCCTATCGTTTTTGTGTTTGCTCTGGTTATAATCTTTATTTTTGGACGTTTTAAATCACAAAAATCATCTAATACGACTTAATAAAATCATAAAATAAAAGAAACAAGTGAGCTGACTCGAGTGTTAGAGCTGCACATCAAACTAAAGCAGAGCATTTATTATTAGAGAGAACTACATGGACCATGATCCTTTGCTCCATTTCAGTGCAGACTACATAACAAAATGCCTGTTTGTGCACTTTCAAATTGTAAAGCTTTGGATTATCACATTAATGATTCACACTAAGGTCTTGTCGAGTCATTTTTAAAAAGTAACAGTATCAATTCTGTTCAAAATATCACAATAAACATCAAACTGTGAGATTTGTTATTATTATTGAGATTATTATATCCCTATTTCTTGCCATAACTTTAAAAAAGTAGTATAATTCAGTATAAAAGTCATATAAACTGCAAAAATATAAGATGTATTCCAGACCTCGGTTCAAAAACTTGAAATGACTTGAAGCTCAGAGCAGAGGACTTGGACTCAACTTTTACTTTTGGGCCACTGACTTGGGACTTGCCTGTCTTTGGTTGGAAACTTGACTTGGACTTGAGACTTGCTTCACATATTTGAATCTGTATGTGTATAAAATGTAGAAGACAGAAAACAAAACAAAAAAATAAAAACATTGTATGAGAAGTATCAAACTTACCTGTCTTTGACCGGAAACATGACATGGACTTGCCTGTTTTTGACTGGAGACTTGACTTGTACTTGCCTGCCTTTGACCGGGGACTTGACTTGGACTTGCCTGTCTTTGACCGGAGACTTGACTTGGACTTGCCCGTCTTTGACCGGAAACTTGACTTGGACTTGCCTGTCTTTGACCGGAGACTTGACTTGGACTTGCGTGTTTTTGACCGGAGACTTGACTTGGACTTGCCCGTCTTTGACCGGAAACTTGACTTGGACTTGCCTGTCTTTGACCGGAAACTTGACTTGGACTTGCCCGTCTTTGACCGGAAACTTGACTTGTACTTGCCCGCCTTTGACCGGAGACTTGACTTGGACTTGCCTGTCTTTGACCCGAGACTTGACTTGGACTTGCCCGTCTTTGACCGGAAACTTGACTTGTACTTGCCCGCCTTTGACCGGAGACTTGACTTGGACTTGCCTGTCTTTGACCGGAGACTTGACTTGGACTTGCCTGTCTTTGACCGGAGACTTGACTTGGACTTGCCCGTCTTTGACCGGAAACTTGACTTGTACTTGCCCGCCTTTGACCGGAGACTTGACTTGGACTTGCCCGTCTTTGACCGGAGACTTGACTTGGACTTGCCCGTCTTTGACCGGAGACTTGACTTGGACTTGCCTGTCTTTGACCGAGACTTGACTTGGACTTGCCCGTCTTTGACCGGAAACTTGACTTGGACTTGCCTGTTTTTGACCGGAGACTTGACTTGGACTTGCCTGTTTTTGACCGGAGACTTGACTTGGACTTGCCTGTTTTTGACAGGGGACTGAACTTGGTCTTCACATATTTGATTCTGTACATATATAAACTGTAAAAGGCAGGAAACAAAAAATAAATAAAAAATGATCGTGTATGTCAAAAGGTTTAAATTATTACATTTACACTACATTTCTATCTCCGTTTGTAGACGTCTAAACTACATGTTTAGCAGCTTTTATACAGAATCAGGCCCTATGGAGACACAGGGAGGGCATCTGACTCACAGGGACATTTCAGAACATTTTTGTTAAAACTTAAACTAAAAGGCTGGCAGCTTTTATGCAGATTATGAACCCATGAAGACACATGAAAAGCATCTGACTCACAGGGACATTTCAGAACATTTTTGTAAAGATTCTAAACTCCAGGGTTGGCATCTTTTATACAGATTATGAATCCATGGTGACACATGAAAGGCATCTGACACACAGGGACATTTAGTTCACAAAAAAGACATGATATTTACTAAACATTTCAAACTCTGTACTCAGTGAAAGCTCCGCACACGTGTCCTTCAGATTTGATTTTATTTGCGGTTTTCTGTTGTAACACAGACAGTGACATAGACAGACAACATGCAGCTTCATGGACATGTGGAAATGGACCGATTCAGTAGTGTCCTTCAGTGTCCCTCGGTGTCCCTCGGTGTCCACGTGGAGGTAAGTCTGTCTCACTGTCCCCTGTCTGTCCTCAGCCCTGTCCACCGCCGAGGACCAGGAAACAAACATTTACAGAATAGAAATCAGGAGGGCTGATAATCACAGATGTTTTAACTCAAATTTGGAATATTTATATAAAACTAAAGCTTCAAAGTGATCTCAATTTTCTAATTTTCTAACAATTTATTCCTCAACTTAAAGGGCAAAGTGCAACAAATTGATAAAATTCCATTGGCTTGAAAGGTTATCGTAAAAAAAGTCTGAAATCATCTTACACACACGACAAGTCCAAAGTTTGGACACACCCTCATTCAATGTTTTTTTTTTTCTAAATATTTACTCTGTTCTACATTTTATATACAAACAGAAGACACCAAATATCTCTAATCCTACTTTTAATGTATATTTGTATTTTTATTAAATCATCAAAGTAGCCACCCTTTGCTTTGTTGAGTTAAATAACTTTTAGGGATGTAACAATATCCAAATCTCTTGGTACGATATTTTCACGATATACATCTCACGTTACGATATTTATTGCGATATTTTGTGGAGGCTGAACAGCTAAAACTGGTAATATGCTTCTTTTTCCTCTTAAAATGCCTTGACAAGACTTAATCCAAAGAACTAACACTTAAAATCGCTTAGAACTGTTATTTCTTCTTGTAGTCTGCACTGAAATGGAGCAAAGGATCATGGTCTATGTAGTTCCCTCTGTCTGTTTTTTTTAGCCATTGCTGCATCGATATATTCCATGGTATTAGTGTGAGAACTTTGATGATACGATATCACGATATTTCGCTTATTGTTACATCCCTAATAACTTTTTTTTTTTTTTGGCTACATAATTCCATACATCTTACTTCACATATTTGATGTCTTCTTTACATGTATAAAATGTAAAAGGCAGGAAATAAAGGGAAAAAAAAACCCAAAATACTGAATGAGAAGCGTGTCCAAACTTGACTGATCGTGTCTGTCAAAGCTTTAAATTATGATAAATTCAACTAAAGATAAAGAGTGTAAATTTACAGGTGGACAATCCGCAGCCTTCTTGACTTTGCTTTGTCAGAAAAGTTCCACAGTACGGCATAAAAGCGCCTGTAAACGAATCAAGTTCAAGTCACGTCTGCATATGTGTGCACATGACAGGTTAAATACTCTTTTCAACCCAATATGTTTAAGATCAGGGGTCCCCAACCCCTGGGCCAGCGACCGGTACCGGGCCGCAAAAGTGCGAACCCCCCTCACATACGCCAGGTGGACCGTACCTCCCTCCCGTACGTCGCGTGGACCGTGGACAATACGCCCTCAAGTACATCGCGTGGACCGTATCCCCCTCCCGTATGTCGCGTGGACCGTACCCCCCCTTCCGTACATTGCATGGACCGTGGACCATACCCACCTCTCATTTGTCGCATGGACCATGGATTGTAACCCCCTCCCGTACATCATGTGGACCGTACCCCCATCCGTATACCGCATGGACCGTGGACCATACTGCCCTCATGTACATCGCGTGGACAGTACCCCCCTCCCGTACGTCGCATGGACCGTGGACAGTACCTCCCTCCCGTACGTCGCATGGACCGTGGACAGTACCCCCCTCCCGTACGTCGCATGGACCGTGGACAGTACCCCTCCCGTACCGCATGGACCGTGGACTGTACCCCCCCTCCCGTATGTCGCATGGACCGTGGACTGTACCCCCTCCGTATGTCGCATGGACCGTGGACTGTACCCCCCTCCCGTATGTCGCATGGACCGTGGACTGTACCCCCCTCCGCATGGACCGTGCACTGTACCCCCTCCGTATGTCGCATGGACCGTGGACTGTACCCCCCTCCCGTATGTCGCATGGACCGTGGACTGTACCCCTCCCGTATGTCGCATGGACCGTGGACGTACCCCCTCCCGTATGGACCGTGCACTGTACCCCCCTCCCGTATGTCGCATGGACCGTGGACTGTACCCCCCCTCCGTATGTCGCATGGACCGTGGACTGTACCCCCTCCCGTACGTCGCATGGACCGTGGACAGTACCCCCCTCCCGTACGTCGCATGGACCGTGGACTGTACCCCCCTCCCGTACGTCGCATGGACCGTGGACTGTACCCCCCTCCCGTATGTCGCATGGACCGTGGACTGTACCCCCCTCCCGTATGTCGCATGGACCGTGGACTGTTCCCCCCTCCCATACGTCGCATGGACCGTGCACTGTACCCCCCTCCCGTATGTCGCATGGACCGTGGACTGTACCCCCCTCCCGTATGTCGCATGGACCGTGCACTGTACCCCCCTCCCGTATGTCGCATGGGCCGTGGACCATACCCCCTCACATATGTCGCATGGGCCGTGGACCGTACCCCCTCACGTACATCACGTGGATCGTACCTCCCTCCCGCACGTCATGCGGACCGTACCCCTCTCCCGTATGCTGCACAGACTGTGTCACTAAACCAGAACTAAACCAGGACTAAACCAGGTCTAAACCGGGTCTAAACCAGGATTTAGCCAGGACTTAACCATACCGCCACATCGCCCACCGCGCCTCCTCCCATACGCAGTTCCACCCACCCCCCCAACTCCCTCCGGTCCACGAAATATTGTCTGATATAAAACCGGTCCGTGGCTCAAAAAAGGTTGGGGACCACTGTTTAAGATGATACGACAAATCTTGCTCAATTTTTCTAGGTTGGAAATGTTGTTAACGTCGGTTGGGTTTTCTGTATTGATACTTTGCGATCTGCTCTGTCTGAAGCTCAAGTTACTGAAAGTTCAGGTTAGTCAAACACAATCTGATAATAATGAGCTGACTTGGCTGGAACTACAACAGGTGATTTGTGCTGTTAAACTAATCCCTCGCACATGACATTACAGTCACAGTCTATTTGCTCTTTACACAGCCCTAAACGTTTGCAAACAGTTTTACAATTTGTCACGCTCTCACTTTTTTTGTTGAAATTCAAACTCCTAAACACGACCACGAATGCTCGGACTAATCACAGCCTCCTGAAAATGTGCTGTTGAAGTCTATTTTGTGTTGTTGTTTTTTTTTTTTAAATCTGAAAAGGTTTTTGGCAGTGTTTGCTAATGTATGCACTGTGTCATCATGGTAACTGCTGAATATTCTACCATAAGCATACAGGCAGAACACCCCCATCATGTTGACACAGCAAAGTATCAATAGACAAAACGGTGTCATGTATTTTTATCCTGTCGTTTTCAACTTTTTTCCACAAACTGCTTCTTTACTCATGCAAAACAAGTACTACCGTATTTTTCAGACTATAAGGTGCAATATCAGTAATGTTGAATTCTCTCGTCTATTTTCATACATAAGGCACACCGGATTATAAGGCGCATTAAGCGGAACAGACGGCCCTTGAGACTGATCCTTAGCCCAGGCGTCCACGATCCATCGGCAGATCGTGGCATAATTCGCCCGGCGTCGCCTCCCTGTCTTGGTGAATGTGGGTGGATCATTTAAGTTTTTTTTTATTTTTATTTCCTACGAGGCAGAATCAAATATACATTGAGTAATAATGTGTTTGATGCAGTTTTGCGCACATTTGTTTACTTTTTACAGAAACAAAACTTAAAACCACGTGGCTCATTTGCATAAACTATAAGCTCTGAAAAAACAGCTCGCTCCTTCTGCACCGATGCGGTTCAGCTCCTGACTTACAGTCGCCGTAATGCTCCGACAATCCATCAAGAGGTGCGGCTTTGTAGTTTACCAAAGTCGTACTAAATCATTCTGACACATTTTTGAGCACTGTGTACCACATAAACTCAGTTTGCGTTCAGAAAGCACAACCAGAATTAATACATAAGGCGCACTGTCAATTTTTGAGTAAATTAAAGGATTGTAAGTGCGTCTTTTAGTCCGAAAAATACGGTACTTTCCACCCTTTGGCAATGGTAAAACATCAATAAACCAAGTACTTATGTTCTTTAAATACTGGTCCCGAAAAGTACTCTCAAACAGTATAAAGCGCACTGTCGATTTTTGAGAAAATTAGAGGATTTTAAGTGCGCCTTATAGTCCAAAAAATACTGTAATTGGAAAACCGTGAAAACCTGCCATATGCACTTTAATGCCGTACTGTGGAAAAAAAAAAAAATCCTCATGACACAAGCAGGAAGCAGACTCTCCACCAAAACTGTGACATGGGAAACAACAACATTTGCCATCTGTGAAAACAAAATTGAAATTTCATCGGAACAAATGTTTTAAATGTGGACTTAATTTGCTTAACACTTGAAATGTTCTCAAATCTGCAGAATCCCACAACCTTTTGGTTCTCAGCCCTTGAATTTGTAACATTTAACTCTTTAACCACAAGATTTCAACACCTCCTCTACCCTCCAGTAAATCAAAAAAAAAAATCTACTTTCAAAGACATTCAGTATTTTAAACAAACCTGGGGCTGGGTACTGTTTAAACACTTCCTCGTAGTATATCTGACATTTTCAGATCCCCACGTTACCCTTTTATTTTTTGAAAATGCTACATTTCCCGAAAACAACGTATTAACATATTTCGCTTTGGTTTTCGAGTCTCCCCTCACCTTGCTCTCTGCTCTAAGTCACCCCCCCTTCAGATTGCCATCACAACACAATCAGCGCGCCTCCCAATAAGTAAAAGTAGGTTTGTAAAGTTGTATTGCGTACAGTTTTGTACCATGTTTTTGCATATTTATGGAGAATTGTCGTACAGAGCCTTAGCGCGCACCGTAAAGAGAGTTAGAGAGATCGCTACATTACTCAAACATGCTTGAACGAGATTTAAAACCTCTTCATGCATGTTTTTGATGAGGGAACAACGTTAAAACATAGTAGAAAGCTCCAAACATTTGATCTTGCGTAATACCCTCTGTTTTTAAAAAGTTAAGGTTTTGAATTTTAACCAAAAATTTTGACGTCTTGTAAATACTGAGAAAAACACAAATGATTACAGATTACAGAATTATTAACTATTACAGTATGTGCGGTAAAAATAAGTAGGTAGTTAAGTATCGGCAGTGGGAACGTACAGCTGCCACATTTGTACTCAAGTCAAAGTACGTATAAAAAAAAATACTCGTCAATGTACCAGTTACAGTTTTTGTACATTCTGAAGTCAGTCTTTCACAAAACTAGAGTAATTAAACCGTTTAAAGCTGAACTGGGTCGTTTTTTGGCTTCTTTTAAACCACAATCCACCTTTTTTTCTGAGCTCTGGCCAATCAGAGCAGCCGATGAAGTGCTACTAGGAGTTATGCTGCCAACTCCTGTGATTATAATATAACAAAAAAACAATTACATGGATATTGAAAGTTTAAATAACCCCAAAAAGCACAACTCAAAAGTAACACAAGTACTTTTTGTCATTAGTTACCGTATTTTTCGGACTATAAGGCGTAATATCAATAATGTTGAAGTCTCTCGTCTATTTTCATACATAAGGCGCACCAAACGAAACAAACGGACGACACTTGAGACTGAAACCTTAGCCCAGGCGTCCACAATACATCGGCAAATCGTAGCGTAATTCGCCCGGTGTTGCCTCCCTGTCTTGGTGAATGTGTATTAAGAATGTGAATGCGGGTTGATCGTTTAAGTTTGCTTTTTTTATTTCCTACGAGGATGATTCAAATATACACTGAGTAATAATGTGTTTAATGCAGCTTTGCGCACATTTGTTTACGTTTTACAGAAACTAAACTTAAAACCACTTGGCTCATTTGCATAAACTATAAGCGCTGAAAAAACAGCTCGCTCCTCGTACCCAGATGTGGTCAGCTTCTGTAGGACTAAAGGACACGACTCAAAGGACATGACTGCAGTGTGCGTTGAGTCGACGTAGAACTATACTTCGCCCTTTAGTCCGCAAGGCTCCTGACTCTGACAATCCATCAAGCATTGAGGCTTTGTAGCTTACCGAAGTCGTACTAAAATATTTTGACAGATTTTTGAGCGCCATGTACCACATAAAATCGATTCGAGGTCAGTAAACACAACCAGAATTAACACACAAGTCGCGCTGTCGAGTTTTGAGAAAATTAGAGGATTTTAAGTGCGCCTTATAGTCCGAAAAATACGGTACTTTCAACCCTTTGGTAACGGTAAAAACCAACGATAAACCAAATACTTGCGTTCTGTAAATACTGGTCCCAAAAACTACTCTCAAACAGTACCCAGCCCTAGTTGTACCTTCATGTAGCCTTTACGTATACATTGATTGTAACAAAAGTGATGTAAACAGACAATAAAAAACAGCACTGTGGAATGTTCACTCAAAAAAATTAATAAAATAACAATAATAATAATAATAATAATAATAAAAAAAACAAAAAAACTTGATGATCTCCCAACACTGCCATGGTGATTATGCGTAACAACGTTTTGATATGGACCCATGGATTTCGATACTAACAGAAAATGAACAGAAACTGACAATGAAGGTGAAGCGTCTTGCTCGAGGGCACAAGACACGCTCAGGGAAGGCAAACGACAAAACCCGCGACCGTCTCTAAAGAGCTTCCGCGCTCGGGTGACACGACTGACCGCAAACGAAAACACGATCGTTTCTTTCTCGCTTCTTCGGTTCTTTCGAAAAAGGGGACACCATGGAACTTTTCTGGTGGAGAGCGCTCGTCTCCATGGTGATCTTAGCTGGAATGTTCTACAGTCTGGCAATGAACTTATCCATCGCTATAGAGACAAGCGAGGTCAAGTTACAGGTCAAGAATGTGTATTTTTTTTAAAGTATTTTTGACCAATTAAATAAATGCAACTTAAATAACTTTAAAGCCATACTGTGAAAAGTTCCAAATGAAGCAGTTAACATATCCATGGAGACAAGCAGGTGGCAGGCTCTCTATCAAAAAAGTTACATCCTGTATCTTTAAAGAGGAGGTATTACACTTCTATGAACTGCTAAGACATACCATATTTAGATCACCGTGTTGCGTTTTTTTGGCTTGAAAATGCTATAATCGGCGAAAACAAAAAAAAGTTAAATGAATTGTAGCTTTGTTTTTGCCGTCCGCTTGCTGTTACGTAGGTTTGTGGACTGCAGGATTCCCACGCTTTTTCACTGACCAAATTTCAAAACTTTTTCCAGCCTGATTCATCAGACGGGTTCACTTTGAGGAAACCGTCTGACCTCGCAGCATTAGATTTCGTTCGCTCGACGGTAGGCAGGTACTTTTTTTATTTAACCAATCGCTGCTGTTTGGTCGTGACGTATGTAATGTGTCACTTACGGGGTGAACT